AGTCACTGGAAATCTCCACTCTGAACTAAATCCAATCCTGCCTCACAGATATCATCAGTGGTAGCTGATCTCTGGTAAAGCTCTATCTAAATCACAGATGCAGTTATGCTCAGTGGCATAAGCCACAAAACCAAAGACATAAATGGCTTGAAGGCAGAATTGCTATTTTCCTGCACTGTGGTGTTTGCTGTAGGTCAGGGTGAGGGCGTATCAGCATGGACACCATAGGGCAGCCTCAAGCTCACCAAGAGGCAGTTAGAACTGGAGGAAAAACCCATGTACAAGGTTGACTGGTGCAGAGTATCTGGAGGCATTCCCACAAATATTGAAAACCCTATTCCCAACCATCCAAAATCCTCCTACACTGAAACACTCAAACATGCAAGCAAGCAAAACAGGGGCAAAATAAAAGTAACAAATGAGTGTTTAAGGTTTCATTTTTTTTTGTTGTTCATTTGGAAAAAGAAGAAAATTGCTACAACATGACAACAAACTTTCTGTGAATATTTTTCTTTGTATATCTTGTATTTTGTTTCCAGATGAACAGTACACTCTTTAATTAACAAGGCTGGGAAACATTGTCCTGAGGTCAGAGCAGCGATAAAAAGTGTACAGCTCTGGATTCTGCGATGAGACACAGGTTCTGCATCTGCCAAAAGCCTATGTGTGATATTTGGCAAGTCACTTCACAGCTCCCCTATATCTGTGGCCATTTTTCTTCTTCAGTGTTTGCACATATACTTGGGGCATCGGAGGAGTAATGAATTACAAGCACGGTCTCATGTTTGAATAGTCACAAAATGATTAATGCTTGGTATTTGAGCCACTGGACTGAAGTCATGCAAACATGCAAAGTGATTTTTAAGAAGCAGTTTTTATGCAGATAAACTATAATTGATACTTACTGGCCTTGAGATTTTTGAACTTTTGGCTGTGTCTTCAGTAATTGCAAAGGTAAAACACAGACCAGAAAACAGACAGTTCAGAAAGCACTGCCACCATTAAAATGACAATATCTGATTATAAGACTCAGTGGGTCAACTCAGATAAATGACCAAAAATGACCTAAAAATGAAATAAATAAATAATTTAAAAAAGAAGGAAGAAAGAAAATATCTCAAATTTTCTTATTGCTGTTGGAAGGTATCTCATCTTTTTCATTTAATGCAAGAGCTCCCTGTCCCTGGAAGACTCCAGCATCACCCACTAGCACTGCTGAAGTGAAGGTCGTGCCTGCCTTTCCATTAAAAATCCCTCTGTCTCCCTCCCTTCCCTGTTTCCCAGCCTTTTTCTGCCCAGAGTTTTATAACTCAGCTGTAAGAAATTGCTTCTGGCTGAAACTTGGCAGCAAAAGTCTGATTTCAGGCCAGGAATGATCCCCCTCCCCTTCTGATTTTCAAAACCCTTTTCTTTTGGTCAGATTTGAGGCGCAGAAGAGCAGAGCGGAGGGGGAGGCGGCGCGGGGCGCTGGGCACGGGAGCTGGCTGGCTCCGGCTGCTTTCATCATGCTTCAGCAGTTCTTTATTTTTCCAGCTGAAATAAGGGTGATTTCTGCATAATGTGGCAGGGATATTTTTGTGTATGTGTTTGTGTTTAAGCATAAAATGGCTGAGTCATTTCTTCTCGAAAGCGATTTTACTGTGTGAGCCGCTTGCTTCCTTTCTGGTTCTCCTTCATTTTTCTTTGTGTTAATGTTTAAAAGGAAGGTCCAAAATAACATGCTCCTCCTTTGGGTCAGCAAAAACAGCTTCACAAATGCTTGTATGTGCTCCGGCAGCGCTGGAGCTTAAAAGAAATATTGAAATGATTATACTGATACCATTGTCACAGCAGTGACACACTAAAGACCTGGGAGTACTTTAGATGGTTTTCTTTGGATTACGAGAAGTGATTGAAATCTCAGACTAAAATCTTGTCTTGTTGTGTGAAAAGGCAGTGAGGACAAGTTCTGATTTAAAAGCCACCAGTCCAAAAAAAAAAGGAGAGACAAAACACGAGGTGAGAAGGTGCAGGGGCTCAGGGTAATGACCTCCATAAAGTCACCCAGTGGCTGTTGACACCTTTAAGCCCAGCAGCAGCAGCAGCATTGGGAGCACTGTAACATAGCCAGGGGCCCACTACTGGTATGTTTTTTGTGCTAATGTTATATTCATGACTGCAATAATACAGGAACATGGTTGCTGCTGGGTGGTGCTCACACAAGGAGAGGTGATGCTGATGTTAAAGATGTCTGTGCAGCTCCCTCTGTGTGTGCTGATTCTATGCCAAGTCCCAGCAGCTGGTTTTTCTGCTCTGAGCAGTTTGTGACCCCAGTACTGAACATGCACATCCAGCCTTCATGTGACTTGAAAATGCTTCTTTCCTCTGGTGCATTTATGAGGGTTTTCTAGAAGGACATAACTGTCCAAACCTGCTGTGACACAGAGCAGGTACTTGAGGAGGATCAGCTCATGTGTCAGGTTAGTCCATGGTGTAGCACACACCATGTTCAAGTGCACATGTTCCTCTCTAGACCTGGGAGTGCTAATCATAAAATCACAAAATGGTTTGGGTTGGAAGAGACCCTAAAGATCATCCACTTTCAACCCTCCTGCCACAGCCAGGGATGCCCTTCCATAGTTCAAGGCCCCATCCAACCTGGCCTTGAACACTTCCATTAAGCCACATATCCAAATAAATTACCAATTAATGACCAGCAGTGAAAATACTGGAATCAGTGATTTCCTGTGTGGTGTCAGAGGGTGAGGGACAAGCCCTGATTTGCTGGATCTGTGGTTGTGCTTTCCACAGCTGTGAAAGCATCTTACCTGCTGCTTGCCCAGCTCTGTCCCACTGTCCCTGCAGCTGTTCTCTGACATAAGAGTGGGACTTCTGGGACATCAGCCTTTATGCCCAGCACTGCACCTACCATGCACTGAAAATGATCTCTAGGCCCCATGGAAAAATTAGTATGTGGTCATCTAATTAAAGCTTATACACAGTGGAGCCAATTATGGTTGCCCTGGCAACTTTAGTTCTGGTATTTCCAAACTTCAGGCAGTCTTGGGAAGTCCTTTGCTTCTGTTCAGCCTCTTGTGTTTTGTTTGTTTATTTGCATCTGTGTGTTTCCCTCTGCCTGTAATCACACCACCTCCTCCTCCTCCACATCCCCTTGTAGTCTGCAGCCTCTTTTCCTCTCAACTCCCACATCTTCTCCTCCCTGACATTTGGATGTGGAGAAATCTGTGGTTCTTGTTTCCAGTCTTTGGAGCCATAAATATCTGGGGTGGAACTGGAGAGCACAGCTTGGTTGACCCCTGCATGTGTTGCTGCCCAGGGCATGGCCTGTGTGGAAGGACCTACTACTGAATCCAGCTGACTCAGCAGCTCTGAGAGGAGTGTGTGCAAAAGGAGATGTCTTAGAGATTTTCATGGAGAGCAGCAGAAAGCATATTCTTCCTCTCTTAGTGAACCCTGAGTCAAAGACCCTGCTTCTTGCTGTGAGGGGTGCTGCATATCCCTCAAGCCACTACCATAGCTTGTGGTTTGAAATACGCCTTTAAAGGGATTTTTTTAAAAGGCACATCTGCATGAAACTGAGTATCCAAATTTTCCCATGTGCCTGTTGATGCACATGTGAAGAAATCTGTTGAATTTTTTTTTCTTTTTACATAACACCAAAATCTCCTGCAGGCACAAGGCATGGATGTGGCAGATACTTTAATTCATATGGCATACTTTGTAAAATAAGATATGTATGAAGGGGATTATCTACACTCTCCTGTGAGTAGGCTCAGGTAGCCACTTCTTAGAGCTGTCTCTTAGTTGCAGGATCACTCTGTAATTGCAGTAAAGATCTCTGCAGTCCTTGCGTTTGGAAGGGGCAGCTGTTGAAGACATGAGGATTCAGCCTGGATTCATCCAACCTGAGTTTAGGCACTTTATTAATATGCCTAGATTACGGTTATGGTCATCAGAAGGCTTCCTCTGCAGATGATGGAGCATATCCAGAAAGTCCTTGGATTGACATCCCGAAGAGAACTCTGCCTTCTCTTTAACAGCTGCACAGCTTCAGCTCCTGACTCAGTGCATTTGTTAAATATTTAGAGAGTCTTCCTGCCCAGCTCATGTGCTTGGACAGAGAAGGGGAAGGCAGCCTGGGGGGAAGCTGTGAGCAGACACAGCCTGACAATGGGTTTCAAAGCATGAACGGAGCCATCCCTGTGGGCTGACATTCTGCACAGCTCAGAGGTGGTACTTTGTTCATTTTACCTCTTGATCAGAACTGCTGGGCTTCTCACTGGCAAACCCTCCTATCTTGGGAAACTGGGCTACCAGCCTTGGGCCCTCAGAAATTGTGAGTCAGGTATCAGAACAATTGTGTGACAGCTTTAAAAGCAAGGAGGTGTTAAAAAAAAAAAAAAAAAGAAAATGGGAAAGGAGAGATGGTTGTATGCTCCTGAAGTACCTTTCAGGTTTGAGTAAGGTTCATGTTTTCCAAGCTTTGTCCTGCAACAGTGAGGTCTGGAAACTTCATTTTCTCCAAGGGAAAGCTGAGATTCTTGTGCTGTGCATGTTTTCAGGAGCAGGGCCTTTAAGAAAAAAATGCAATAATGTGAGATGTAATAAAAAACTTTGAGGTTGGCAGTCTTGCAGGAGAGATGTCAGGCTGTGGCTCTGTGAAAGCAACAATGATGAGCGAAGCACAGAGTGTTGGTCTGAACTTGAACTCTTGTGCTTATACCAAAATGAGCTATGTGTCTTATGCCAGACTTGGTCTATAAGAATGTTGAATTTTCTCTTTTTCTATGTGTTTAAAGCTCATGAATTTTCCTTAACATCCCATCCAGAAATCCCAACACAGTTTTTGATTATTTAAAGAAGAAAAAAAGGTCACTAAACCACTGCTGCTCTATGTGGACAACTGAAAACTATTCCTTCTCCCTTATTAATTGATATTGGCACTGTATGTATTGGATGTGGTTTTAATATCCTTTTCCCTTTTCCTTTTTTTCCAACAGGAGTGGCCAAACCAGCTATCCTCACTCAGCTCCTGTGTCATTTGTGGGTGGAAATTAACAGCTTCTGCAGCTGAGCAGGGCTGAGACAATGAGAGGAGTCGGGATGTCACTAAGAGATCATGTCCTCGTAGGAACTGTTCTATCCCTAGTGCAAAACCAGAGCTGTCCCCACATGCTATCTGCTCACCTTTATTCCTGACCTGCTGCAGGCTAAATTCCTGGTGGAAGGAGAACAAAGAGAATAAAATGTAGTAGTTTAGTGGTCAGTGCAGTGCTCAGTCAGACAGGAGAGGCAGCGATGCTGCACAACCCCCATGAAGTTTGTGCCTGCATCCACCCCTACAGTGCTGTACTTCTCTTTAAACATCTCTTCCCTGGCCTCTCTCAAGCTGTAATTGGTAAAGAGCACTTTAAACATGCTCCAACTGGCAGTAAAATTCTACTTTTAAAATATTGGATGGTGCAGCTTATTTGTATGTTTTGAACAATAGCACACGAGAAATTGTAGATGCTTTTGAGAAAAATTGCATTGTGAAAAGCCTCAGAGAATCTCTTCATGACCATTAGGATTTAATTATGGAAGGCAGAAGAGGAAAAAAAACAAAGGACAGTAAGTAATGGATTGTTATATCGTTATGAGTCATATTGCCTCAGAGGTTTTGTTTTCAGCTGATGCTGTGTGTATCATTATTAAGTTATTTTATTATTGAATTTGCACTGACTCCTTATGGTAAATTTGACCTTAAAAATTACCAGCTTGGTACCCATGAGATGTGTGTAAAACATGAAAAATATTGATTTAAAAAGGTCCAGTAACAAGAATAGAAATGTTAAAGTAATGTAGAAGTAATTTTTACACATGTTAAATCTAAAGATAGGGAAAGCCTTGTGAATTTACTGGGAAAAAACCCACACCTCATTACCTAAAAGACAAGATATCCTGCACAAAGAAAAGTAAAAATTATAAAGGATCAGATTTGTGGCTTCTAAAGAAAAAAAACAAAACAAAACAAAACCCAATGAGCATACACACAAAACCAAAAAAAAACCCCAACAAATAGCTCCCTCTGAAATAAAAAACCAAAAAACCAAACCAAACTAAACCCAAAAACTTAAGAAAAAACATGTTCTGAAAATTAGGAATATTAAAGTGTGAAGTCCTATTTCAGTCTAGATCTATATGAAATGCTTTGCACTCATACCACTGTGTACCCCCTCTACCTAATTTCTAATCTTAAAGCAAAGTTTTCTCTCTCTCAAAGAATCTCACTTTGCGTCCTTCTTTATTATTTCCCAGCATGTATCTCCCATTCTTTGGTCTCCCCTCTGGAACATTGCCTGTACATTTTTTTGAGGAAAGGGATTGTCTCATTATGTGCTATACGGACTCGAGCACCACAGATCTCCAAAGGGTCTAATTCCCAGGGAAAGTTCCTGCCAAATTCTTTGCTGGTGGCCCACTTGTGATGTCAGTTTTCAGCTCAGGACTTCATTCGTTGTTGCAAATCCAACTTCTAAAGCGATGCTCAGGCTTTCTGGGAGCCCCACTGATGAGGGGTGGAGGTCAGGCTACAGACAAATGGGAATGAAAGAAGGGAAAAAACTGGAACAGAGCCATGGGAGAGGCTGTAAAAGCTGTACAAAGGGGATGGGAGAAGTGAAAAATGGCAGATCTTCCTCCTGGGATGTGATGTTCTTGTCCCTCCTCGTTGAGTAGAAACTACCATCCCTAGCACCTCCTTGGATAAAGCAAGTAATGACGATAATAGTAGCAGCAGCAGTAGCAACAGTAATAATTAACAATAAGAATGATTTATCTTATTTTCTGCTTGGGTGAACCCAAGTGGACTCTCACTGTGGTGCCTTCTGAGGACCTTCTATATGGTGTCTTCATAATAAGTCTTTGTGGCCCTTCTTGTCTGTCAATCTGTCAAGCAGAAGCTGCATCAATGCTAATAACAAGGTTAAAAGTAAAGAGGGGAGCAATGGCTCAATTATCATTCCAGGCACGTGGTGTAATTGTGCTGTTGGCTGCCAGCCATGCAGCTCTTGTGGTAGCAAACAGTGCTTCCCCTCAGCAGCCCCAGCCGCCCTGTTTTCATACGGGCTGGGAAGGTCACAAAAATCAATTAGCAATATGGGACGTTAACGAAAGCCAAGTCCAAAAACAACTTCAGAAACACTTTTCTGAAAGATTAATGTATCTTTAAAAAGTAAACTGACATCTGTGTCATTTTTCAGAGCTGCTCATGTTTCCTGCTCCTGCTAGAAAAAAACAATCTTCTCACTGTGCAGCAACACTGTCTCTTAGCTCCCATATAGTCATACATCAGGTGGAGGTTGCTGAACTTGATGTTGTCCATACAAAATCCACAAAAATTATCTCATCTCCAGCTGAGATGGTGTTTATGAAGCAAACAGACACACCAAGTTGGCTGAAGATAGAGACAAGGTGTGATTGCAGGAGTCAGCCCCCACAGACACTGTAATATGCAGGTCTGCCAGACCCCAGGGTAAGGGTAAGGCTGACATAGTTCAGGTTTTATAGTTAGACCAGAGAATAAACCTCATATTTCTGAAGTTTATGAGTTATGAGTTCAATGTAGTACTACCTTGGGCAAGTCACCTTCCTTTTAATGGTCTCTAATAGCAATACCTGGCAGGGGCATTGTAAAATTTAATGAAGTGCTTCCACTATCCTACTATTACAGATGACGAAAACTATAAAGCGTCATTAAATTCATTGTCATCTGGCACATCAGTCTTCAAATGGTTTAATCTAAATTGCACCTCTGCTTTCTAATATAAATATTTTATTTCGTTTATGAAGGAATGTACAAAGTACAATATAACATTGCTGCCCACAAGCCTTTTTTAAAGTCATATATATTTGTTAGATATTCATACTCTTTTCCTCACTGTTTCCTTTTCTTATTACGAGGGAAATGGTTTAGAATTGCAAAAGCTATTGAAATTGTCCCCTGGGCTTATCTCTGAATTTACCTACCTCGTTGTATCATTCAATTAGAGTTCTACTTCTTAATAGGTGTTTTATATTTTAATGTCATTAACACTAACAAAACCACACTGGGCAAAATGACAACTTCTGATGACTCTCTGAGAACACAGCACTTACATTTCCTAGGCTGGGAACATGGTGGGTACACAAACCACATCCATTTCAATGACATCTGCATCACTGGCAGATCTTATTGTGTAACAAAGACATGAAAAGTTGCCACACATTTGATGTGCTTCTTCTTGCTTCCCTGCAAAGACAAGGAAAAAAAAAATCACTTCAGTTATTTCTGTGATTTATTGAAATAGGTGGGAATATTATCTCTAGTGAAATTATAAAGGAAAGATCACACAGGTCAATCACAGACCTATGAGGACCCAACCACAAACCACTACCTTTTAGGTCCCATTAAGCTGAGCAATGGCTGAAAGTGTCCACAGGAGAAGTAACCTTGTTCTCAAATGTGGGATCCCCAGCCACCCTGGAATGGTCTAGAAGAAACTTTCCTAGGGGAGAGTTTCATAGGAAAATCATTAACAGTTACCATTAGGTGGAGGTTATGAGTATTGTGTCTGCTTGGAAATCTTCTTTTTCAAAAGGATTCTTTCCCCTCATTTCTTTATCAGGGACGTATGGGGGAGGAGGGGGAAGAGAAAAGGTTTCCTATGTCTATGAACCTCTTGATTATAATTATTCAAATAGATCACTGTCTCAGGATGCTCAAAAAGCGCAAAGCCATTTTCTGTTTCAAAGGCCAGAGAATGATCATTAGGAACACATCTCCTTTCTGTAATGTGGGGACAACCATAATAATTTGTTAAAAATGACATTATTATGGCTGGGGAATAAGCAAAACCTGTATATGACAGCTAATTATCTTAACAGTATTTGAAGTTAAACTATTTTTTTCTTAGCAATCACACACGGACAAGAAGAGATCATCAGACTAGGGAAGGAAATGTAGCAAAAACTGAAAAGAAAAAAAGGAGAAAGAATTATCCTGTTTTCACCCAACAGAGTACAGACTGTCAGTGTTCTTTGGCATTCCTGGTGCAATTTGGTTTTGGTAAGTCCAGTGAAATAATTGTTCCTTTAACTATAGCAAAGAGCAATTTACCGATTATCTGTTTCCTAAAAGCATTGAATGCTGAGTATCCTGTTCCATTTCCTGTCAGATATTCACATGCAATTAGATACAGGCAGTGGGAATGTAATGTAAAATGGGTATTTTGTTCTGAAACATGGCAATGTGCCTGTGCTCTTCCCCATCTCCTTGAGCAAAGTTCAAGTGCCAAAATGAAAGGCATGTTTAATGCCAAAGGTGATTCAAGTTCAGGCCAAAAATAATTCCAGACAACTCAATTTTGAATTATTTTCCTTCTAAACATTTTTTTGGGGGGCGGGGGGAGGGGGGAGGGAATGGAAATACTGCTGGGTGTTTGAGGCTGAGATGCTAACAGCAAAACCTCTTGCAAGCTATTCAAATATCAGCTGCTATTGTGTACAAAGTCCTCCCTATCACTGTGGAATTTAGAAGAGGAAGCCAACAGAACAGCCAGATTTACAATGTACTTGTGGAATTTTCCAGAAGCTCTAGTTTTCTTTAAAAAATATTAGAAATGCTGTGAGAATGTTCTTTTCTTCTAACATTTTTGCCTGGCTTCCAGGAAACAGGTTGCGCACGTAAAATGTATTTACTGATATTTGATTTTGTATAATTGCACTTCAGGAAGACAGCCTGGGTAGATTAAACTTGAAGTTAAGAAATCATAAGTTAAATATTTTCCGTGAAATAATGTACACAGAAAAATCCACACTTGTATATTTGAAGAATCTTGCTTTTCATGTGTAGCATTTCAGAACACCCCTAGACCTCTTCTCTCTTTTTTTTTTTTCTTGTTAAGCAGCATCCAGTTATTTCAAATGGCTTCTGAGACAAAGCAGTTGCTCACAATGATAATATTTTGAATAACATGTCCAATAGAGATGAAATGTGAAGCCATAGACTGGGTTGCCAGCACATTCAGTGTGAATTCTTGGATAAGTCCTTCCATCTGAATAGAGTCTAAAGGCAGAATGGCCTTGGAGACAGAGATACGTGATACAAGCTAACCATGGTCCTTGGAGGGTTCTCAAAATTAGATTTGATAGCACTGAGTTGGAGTAATGAAAAGGAGTGACATACCAGTGGTTTTGGCCTTAGCTGCTAAAGAAAGGTCCTGATAGAGGTTTCTGACCAATTTTGAAGTTTTCTGACCAATTTATTTGAGTTCTGTGAAATAAAATATTTCAGTGCAAAAGTGGCAGGGAGAGAAGAAAAAAAAAAAAAAAAAGGCTTTTTTGTCACGTTCTTCTCCGGCAGGGAAAAGTGAAGTCTTCTGTTCACCCGAAATTACTGCTGTTCATTTTGTCTGAAATGAAGGAATAGCCAGAATCCAAAGACTTTGCACTTCTGGATGACAGTCAGGTGTGGAAATGAAAGGTTGCAGAATCATAATGGAGAAATGACTCCTCCCAAGGACTTTGAAGACAAATGCACTTGGGAAAGGGTAAACCAAGGAGCCAGAAGCTCAAACACAAAATACTAAATAAGCATAAACTAGGCATGAATGGAAGGTATTAGGGCAGTATGAAAAACCTGGTCTTGGAATAACCCCACTTTACAGAGGAAGAAAAGTGGATAGGGTTAT